TAAATTTTTTTGTATTATTAATATATATATATATATAGGTACAAAAAGCTAGTGATGCTGTCTACAAGGTATTGGCCGATGGGAAAGCATTTATAGTGGATATAGAAGCCAAGACATGCTCATGTCATAGATTTCAAATGGATGAGCTACCATGTGCCCATGCTATTCGTGTGATAAAATCCTTGCATTTGGATCCCGTTAAATTTTGTTCCGTTTACTACCTAACAACGACTATGTTAAGAACATATGATGATACGGTGATGCCAATAGCAGGTAACCAGACTTTTATGTTCGAAGCACCCTCTGTGGAACGACATCTAAATCCACCTGATGGCAATGCCAAGCCAGGTCGTCCGAGGAAGCAACGACGAAAGTCGGGATGGGAGCATAGGTCCAAAAATAGGTGCAGTAAATGTAACGAGAAAGGGCACAATATTAAAACGTGTCAGAATCCAATAAAGGGATAAATTATGTTAATGTTGATGTAACATTTTTTATAATTTATCTTTTCCTCAAGTAACTCAAATCTTAAATATTAAATTATTTAGGACGGCACTGTTATAATAATTTTAAGTTTCATGAATGTGTTCATGTACAAATCATGTATAATATATACATAACATGTACAATAAATATATACTTATCATTTAGAATTTATACATAAGTATAATTAGTATGTATAAGCAAACTGCAAGTAAGATATGCACAAAGTACGTTGTCCATGTTATATACATAATATAATTATATTATACATATCCCTATGCTTAATATTCGTTGTATATAAAAAAGTTGAAATTTTTTGATTTGTGTTCCATAGTATATTCAGATCATGAACATTTCTATTTTTTTTTTTTTTTTTTTTTACATACTGTACAAATGATTTGTTTATAAAATAATATTTGTACAGGGATGAAAAAAAATAAAACAATTTTCAAACAGTGTTAAAATGACATCAGAAAACTTTGGATAACATAACATCAAAATAATTCAACGAAAAGTCGATCAAGATTCAGTGAATACTAGGAAGAAAAACGAAATGAATCCAAATGCTACCGTTTCTCAACACAAAAACAAATCAACAATAATTGTCATAAATCTTCAAAGGAGTCCGAAACGGACATCATCAGGTATTGTACCAGGAGATTCATCATCACTCTCCAAATCCTTTTCTATCTTCAATTGGGCATGCTTATACAGCAAATATCCGAATCTATGCCTCTCTATAGTGGCATCTATCTTTTTCCTCGTAATATCAACGGCTGATATGAAATGCTCAGCGAACGATGCAACAAAGATACCACAGTCACTGCATAAACAAATATAAAAATAAAGGGCATGACATAAAAGAAATTAATATATAAATATATATGTCATAGAACATACACAAGAAATACACATAACATATACACACATTTTTATTGGGTTGAAAAAAGTACCTGTTCTGTTGCTGTGGCAGATCGGGAACAACAGTTATCTTCAGAGGTGAATTCACGTCGAAATTTACACGCCCATCCGCATCGGTGTTACAAACAGGCCTCTTCTCGAAGAAGTGAATCATACGTAGGTAAATAGGAATAATCACGGCATAAGCTTGAACACTATCTAGAACGATCTTGTCAACGTCATCAGACTTGATGGAATTATAAACCCACAACGTCATGTCGTCCAAAGACAGTCTCCCCAAAATCCAATGTCCAATTCCATTAATATCAACATGCATCGGGAAAAGGACGTGGTCGACATCAGACCACGAAACTCCACATATAATCTTGTGGCCAAAAATATAGTCAATAATCATGTCCTCGACAGAGCATGCAACCTGGCCGGGCGGTT